AGAGTTGCTGGGAGGATTATATGGAATTTATTTATTAAGAACCTGGCACAACATTGAAGATCAACAAATGGCAGTTTGTATTAATAACAGAAACATGCCAATTGGAAAAAAACAAGGCAAGTAAAAGCAAAATCAGAAACTTTATTCTAAATTCTGTAAAACTTAGTTGGAAGGATTGACTCAATTAAAATTTTTTTAAAATCATAAATATTTTAATCATAGTAAATAAGAAAATATAGGGAGTGTACCCAAGCCCTGGCTCTTTTGAATTCTAATATTTTATAATACATGAGTCACATTTTTAAAGAAATAACACACAGAAGGTAGATTTGGGTACCCCTGTGTACTCTATTCTCCATACCCCTGCTCCCCAGCCCTGGGCTGACTTCCCCATCTTCCTGTGGTTCGTTTCTTGGGGCCTCCTTCCTCCACCCTGAGCTCAGTTGCTACAGCCCATGTTTTTCTGTTTTCTGCATTCAAAATGAAGGATCACCTGCTTCTTTCCTCTGTGTTTGTATATTTAATGTGTGGCCCTACAGAAGTCTTCTTCTTCCAGTGTGGCCCAGAGACAACCCAAGGCTGGACACCCCTGAGAGGGTCTGCACCTCTCCTTGAGCAGGAAGGGAAGCCCCAGCTATGCACGGTCTCAGAGGCACCGCCCGCTGCTGCCTCAGTGGCCGCTCCTCCCAGAGGCGGAAGCTGACCGTGAGCATGGCAGACAAATGGGGGAGGGCTTTTCCCACATGGCCCAGGCAGCTTCACAGACGTTTCACCACTGAATCCCTGCGGTGTCTCTAAGGGGTTACCACTGTCTCTATTCTACAGAAAAGGAAGCCAAGCAAAGGACCTGCCCGTGACCTGGCAGCACAGAATTCAAACTGTTTCATCATTCCAGGGAAGCCATGGCATAAGTCCCATGGTTTTCAGGTGTGGGCTCACTCTTGTGCCCTACACAATTAGCTACTGCTTGCTCCTCACGAAATCAATACTTTCTAAAAAAATCTTTGTAGCATTAAGGAAAAGAGAGAGAGAACTAAAACAAGACCTGAGGAACACGAGATGAAACCTCCTCACTTGGATCCCCTTGTGTTTTTGTTCATTTTGATGTACACTCGTAGCCAGGAGACCCAGGCCTGGCCTCACCACTTACAAGCATGTGACCATGAGCAAGTCCTGCCCTTCTCCCAAGGTCTCTGTTTCCACATCTGTAGGATAGGAAATAATGATATCTCCCCTGCCTACACCCCGGGGGTATTATAGGGATTTCAGCAGATGTGGGGAGCAGAAACGTTAAGGCACTGTCTGCATCTAGACACTCTCTGTACACCTGCACGTTGGGGGTCAGGATGATAAGGGCTCTCGGGCAGCTCCCCCTCCTAACGCCCAGATCTTTGGACCTGATCCTCAGCGATCCCCACAGTCGCCAGCTCTCTGTAGAAACCTTTAGTGATCCTCACATTCCCGAGACATCTGATAATAACAGCTAATACTAGTTCTATGTAGCGTATGCCAAACACTGTGTCAAGTATTTTCTATTCTTTATCTTGAATCATTAGAATAATTATGGATGGTAAGCTTTTTTTTATTTATCAAAGAGTTTTATTTTTGTTTTTGTAAATTACACCCCTAAATATAAAACTGATGTGTTGGTATTGGCCTTATACCAAAGAAAATCAGATAATCAACACTGGTTCAGAAAACAGCAGAAGAATAGATGAAGTATAAAGTTCAATGGGGGAAAAGCATGTTCTTAATAAGATGGAATGTAATACTTTTTACAGACATTGGGGAAATGCAGGCATTATTACTCCCATTTTATAATTAGGCATATTGAGGCTCAGAAAGTTGAAGTAACTTGCTCAAATCCACAGAGTCAATGATGATGAAACCGGAACTTGAGGCAAAGTCTCACCAGACCCAAAGTCCATCTTCTTTCAAGCACATTACGCTGTTTGCCTTAAGAATCCCTGCCTGCTCTTAGCCTCATCCATCACCTCCTTCCTCCCGACAGCCACATGGCTGATAAAGGTGTTGGATCATGCATAAAAGCAAAAATAACACTTGGGGTATTATTACCTTGTATCCCTTGAAATTAGGGGTTTGGAGGGTAGATCAGGGTGGGGACAGATGTTTTGTGGGTGGGGTAAGAGATGAGAATTGGATGAGGAGAGGAGTATTGAGATGGTCAACAAGAACACTCCTAGGAAAAGTATATCAATACTGCAATGTTCTGGGTACAGCTCAGTGTTAATTAACCCAATAAGCGTAACTGAGTGCCCAACATATGCTGGTGCTTTGGCGACCGTGCTCAGATGTGGTTCTTGCCCTTGAAGTACGCATCACAAGTCTGAGTTCATGGAATGCTTTTGTCAAATATTTAGAAATTAAAAATTCAAACAATTAAAAAATACGACACTAACAGTGATATTTTGCACACCTAGGCAAGAACCAGACAAAGGGAGACGGAGAATCAGAGCCGGGGCTATGCTTACTTAGTAAACTCATCCTGGTGTTTGCGTGCCTGTTGGAGAAAGCCTGGCAGAGAACCACAGCATTTAAGCAGGCGGTGAGTAGGTGGTTATCTTTGGTTCAAGCCATCTTCCACAGAAGATACTGAGGACAGAGTCCTTTTATCCATTTCTTAACATGAGTGGAAAATGGCAGAGAGGTCTGGAGAACTCAGAGCACTAGCACAAAGAAGGCCCAGCCGTTGGGGGCTGTGCTAGCCACAGAGCCAGAGACAACTGTGTACCTTCCCCAGTCCTGAGAACCCTTCCCTCTCAGCTTTCCTCTTGTCGGCCTGGGACCCACTGAAACATCAGGCAGGTAGCTTTCCCAGTTACAGCACATTGTGGCTACCTAGTCAGTAGCTGGAAAAGTGGGGAAATAGGATAGATATTTTAAAAATAAGAACACAATCTAACATTTTTGCAGTTTACAAAGCTTCAGCATCTCTCATCTATTTAGATTTAATTCTGAGAATGATACACAGAGAGAGATGCTAATATTTCAATTTTAGATGAGAAGGCAGAAGTCCAGGGAAGTCACTGTTGCCATTCTCATGTGTTACAGATATTAGGACAGTACAAGGACGGGCCATTTCCCTGTGTGCATAGGGAAGGCTTTCTGGAGGTTACCAAGGGCTGAGCAGAGTAACACAATTATGTGCTACACAGATAAAGAAGGGGAAATCCCAGGTAGATGACTCTCCAAAGGCCTAAAAACACGAGGAAGACTAGAGAGGCTGGCAGGAAAAAGATGAAAATGATAATGATGACTATGCTGGCGACCATGACAGCAGCTAATACTTAACTATGCTTCCTACGTGCAGAGACTGTTAGAATAGGTGCTGTTCTGAGCAGGTCCTACAGGGATTCTCATACCCGCCTTTTATTATCCCCATTTTACAGATGCAGCAACTAAGGCACAGAGAAGTTAAGGAGCTTGCCCAAGGCCATATGTGATGTGGTGTACTAACTTCAACGGCATGAAGTTTATCCTAGGAGCCAAGAGCACCTTTTCCTCTGTGGGTAAGGGGTTTTCAGCAGAGAGGAGATGGGGACAGACTTGAGACTGAGAAAGCCTTCTCTGGGCATTGGAGAGTGGAAAAGAAACTGGGACACTTGTCTAGGTTCGTGGTTCTAGACAGCCCACAACAACTGATGCTTGTTGGTAAAAACTGCACCCCTCCACCCCATCTCCCCATCTCTGCTTTCTCTGCCTGCAAAGGGAGAAGAATATATTTCTGCCTACTCCCCTCAGGAATTGCTTGAAAATTAATGGGGTTGAGGCCTGGTTGGCTTCCATGTATTAAACACCTGCCCTGTACAATGCTACTGCTGATGTTCTTTAGATTCAGAACATAAACTGTGCTTGGACAGAAGAGGTAGAAATAATTACAACTTGATTATTGTTAATCGTGCCAAAGCTTTGAAACCCTGGACTTTCTGGATGACTCAAAAAAAAAGAGGTTGCAACCCCTCTATCCCAATAAAGTAGCCACACGGTGGCAGACAAGCAACCTCCCACAGGCTCCATTCTTTGCATTATTTGCAGTTGTTCGGCTACTTAAATGGAACACAGAAAAAGAAAAGCAATATTTTGCTCCTTTACAATCAAATCGTGCAAAGAACTCCTTATAGTCTTGCTGGTTCTTTTAAGGAATTTGTTCCTTTTCATCTCTCTACATTGAGTACAGGCATACATGGTGTGTGTGTGTGTGTGTGTGTGTGTGTGTGTAGGGGGGAGTGGTTAACAGAACTTCTTCCACACTAAACACCAGGGCGCCTGGGTTTTACCCACGATCCACGGAGTAACAACCGCTGCCTCAGCTTCCTTCAGTTCTGCACCCCCCCCTTTTCACTCACACTTAAGGTCTCCTAACAGCCAGGCGGAGAACTAAACCCCTCTCCCAGAAATCTGAGGAAATTGAGGGCAGGGCCGCTTTAAGTCTCTAAGCCTTAATTTCATCACCAATGAAATGGGTCTGATAGATGCTCCATATCTCTCAGGACTGAGATGAAGAAGAGATAATGTTTGTGAACTGTAAACTATGTAGATGTGTGCGATTAGAGAGCTGAGAAACGAAACGAAACGAAACGGAGCGAGGAAGTGAAAGAACTTAAAACACGGATAGAGGTGGGAAAGGGAGAGAGAAAAGGGGGGAGGAGCGGGATAAAAGCAGTACAGTCCCACGACAATTTTCACCGAAGTTTCTGAGAACTGCAGTCTAGGAGAGCAGCCAGGACGCCCAAGGTGCCCTGCTAGAAGCCGCGTCAAGGGCGGGCCCCTCTCCAGGTGGAGCCAGAGGCGCGGGGGGGGGGGGGCGGGCCGTGGCCAGCCCGCAGGTGAGTATCGGTTTTCTTCTCTCCGGCTTTCGGTCTAGAGGAGGCGGGGGCGGCTTCTGCTCCCCTACCCTATCGCGGGAGGTGCAGGGCGGGCTGTGCCTTCTGTGGGACGGGGACTGAGGGAGGAGGGGCACGCGGGATGTGTCACCAAAATACCAGAGGGTGAGTTGGCCGCGGAACCAGCCAGGCAGGTCCGGCGGAGTATAAGAGCGGGCGGGACCGGCAGCGGCCGGCGTCCTGAGACCGCACCAGACCGCGGACCGAGAGTGCAGCAGACTTCCAGCGCGCCCCGTGAGCCTGCGTCCCGTCCGCGCACCTCGCCCCACCATGGCTCGGGGCCCGGGCCTCGCGTGGCAGTCGCTGCCGCTGCTTCTACTGCTGCTCCTGGCGGCGGTGACCGGCCAGGCGGCTGCACAGGACAACTGTACGTGCGCCACAAATAAGATGACCATTTGTAGCCGAGAACACCCAGGCGGCCGCTGCCAGTGCCGTGCGCTCGGCACTAACGTCGAAGTCAATTGCTCCTCGCTGACCTCCAAATGCCTGCTACTCAAGGCGCGCATGAGCGCCCGCAAAAGCGGCCGTGCGCTGGTGCGCCCCAGCGAGCACGCGATCGTGGACAACGACGGCCTGTACGACCCCGACTGCGACCATCAGGGCCGCTTCAAGGCCCGGCAGTGCAACCAGACGTCCGTGTGCTGGTGCGTGAACTCGGTGGGCGTGCGCCGCACGGACAAGGGCGACCTGAGCTTGCTCTGCGACGAGCTGGTGCGCACCCACCACATCCTCATCGACCTGCGCCACCGCCCGGCGCGCCGCGCCTTCAACCACTCGGACCTGGACGCCGAGCTGCGGCGGCTCTTCCTCGAGCGTTACCTGCTGCCTGCCAAGTTCGTGGCGGCGGTGCATTACGAGGCGCCCACCATCCAGATCGAGCTGCGGCAGAACGCGTCGCAGAAGGCCCCCGGCGACGTGGACATCGCAGACGTCGCCTACTACTTCGAGAGGGACGTCAAGGGCGAGTCGGTGTTCCCCGGCCGCGGCGGCCTGGACGTGAGCGTGCGCGGCGAGCCCCTGCTGATGGAGCCGCCGCTCATCTTCTACCTGGACGAGAAGCCGCCGCAGTTCTCCATGAAGCGCCTCACCAGCGGCCTCGTGGCCGTCATTGTGGTGGTCGTGTTGGCCCTCATCGCGGGGGTGGCCGTCCTGGTGATTACCAACTGGAGGAGATCCGGGAAGTACAGGAAGGTGGAGATCAAGGAGATGGGGGAGTTGAGAAGGGAACCGAGCTTGTAGGTGCGGGCGGGGTGGGGTACGGGGTTCCCGCAGGTCTCCCAGGCCGGAGTGAGTCGCGCTTCTTCATTCTGGGCCCAAAGCACACTTTTCTCTCCCTAAATTCTTGTCTCTCTGCACCCCACCGACTTTAACCGGTCTTGGCCCCCTTTCTTTGTTGTGACTTCAGCCTTGAAGGAAGTAAAATTCCTTCCCTTTTGGTCCAACAAGAAACCTGACTCGAAGAGTTAAGGAAAGCCTGGCATGAGGCTGTGTTTGAGAATCAAGTGCCTGTACGACAAGCCCGCATCTTTACAAGTGACACCATTAATGTTGAAGGCTTAACTGCGTTTAGATGGGGAACGTCGATTTTAGTGTCTTGGGTTTCAGTTATTTGCCCAGCTCCGCTTGGCTCGTGGCCTTCTCGAGGAGTTGTTCTCTAATTGGGTCCGAGTGGTGTCCGCCCTTACCGTCACCTGGGAAGAAGTCGGTTTCAGCTGCCTGAGTACTTGTTAGTCGTCTCTGTTTGGGGGCCGACAGCACCTGGACACCCTGCGTCCTGCTTCCCCCACCCCCTTGTTATTTAGTAATGTTTCTTTTGTAAAATGTTTGTACATAAGTTGTCTTTGATAAATGCTGCTGTGATTTTTTTTAAAAAAAAACCACAAATTTAATAAAATATGGAAAAGGCATAAAAGATGGAATTGGTGAGAACTCACTCCAGATTTATATCAGTTTGGTGTCTAATTTCCCACCACTCGGATTTCTGATTTTAAATTCTAACCCTGTTTTTTTTTTCTTTTGCAGGAGCAGGCATTTTAATAGTAACAGGCTGGTCCAGTTACTGGTTTTTCTAAGTAAGATTATTTGGGAACCTCCCTCCAACCACGGGAGGCTGGGTTGGAGGGAGGAGGCCAGAACTAGGTGCTATTGTTGGGATCAGAGACCAGCCTTGTTTGTGTCCCAACAAGAATTCTTAAGTGGGGAAGGAAACCTGTTTGTTTCAGGGGCTGTGTCTCTCTCCAGTCCTTGCCCTGTTTGGAAGTAGGTGATGCAATTCCCATTTAGTCCTTGGCAATTTACTTAATCCCAAATGATGTGGCTATAAGAGGGGTTCCATGACTTTCCTACGGGGATGCAGCTGGTTTGTCAGAGGCCTTATGCCGTGGCTCTCTGGGTGTGTGTGCTAAGGTGGTTGTCCTCAGATTGTTGCTAGCAATATGCTTTAACAATGTTTCCTTCCTATTTGCTGTAAAAACTAGCAACTTGCCTCCTTTCCACGTACCTCCTTGTTTACAGTCGTCCGCATTCCTTTTTGTGGAGTTCAGCTGCTTGGTAGCCTATAGGCAAACGAGTTCCTGCAGCTGCTTGGAAATTACTGCAGCAATGGGCATATGAGGGGTGGTTGCCTACCCAAAAGCAAGTAGCTAGGTTCAGGCCTCGAGTTTGTTGCCCTGGAATCTCAGCCCGATATTTCTCCTCCCACCCCTGCTGTGTCTAGTGGTCCTTGCCAACCCCTCAGGACTGAAAAACATCAGTTAAGAACTGGGGGACAGAGTGGAAGGGTGGCGGCTCTCAGACACTGCCTTCACCGCTCGGGACTGTGGCTTGTGTGCACTGGTAGAGTGGATGCTTTACTGCCAGAGCTCTCTCAGGCTCCAAACCATCTCTCAGGCTCAAAAGGGGCCTAACAGGGGGCAGGGTGGGGATGGGCCGGCTTCCCCACCATAGGAAGGATGGCTGAAGTACCCCAAATTAGGATGGGAAATGTTACAGCGCCGCTTGCTGCTTTCTGCTTCTCTGAGTCATTGAAGTGCCATAGCTAAAGGGGCCTTGGCAATCACCTCTAACCCAACCCCTCATTTTACAGAGAAAAGGGCAAGTGGCTTAGCAAGATGAGTGTGTTTCAGTGGCATAGCTGGAACTAAAAAGTCTTTTGATTCCATGTCCAGTATTCCTTTCACTATATCAGGCTGCTGTTGTTTGAAGAGTCACTTCAAAATAATATGTCTTGACTGCAAATGAACAGATTAAGGATTGACTAGGGGGCCGGACAATGGAAAAAGCCCTGTGGGGGGCGGGGGGTGGGGGTGGGGCCCATTTCTTTATCAGAATGTTGCTTCTGGATAATTTCTAAATTTCTGCATTAATCTGGGTTTATAAATCCTCGCACACCATTGCATTCGATTGTTTACAGATCACTTTCACAGTGTCATTTTTGAGACGTTGGCTTACTGGAAGTTACCCAAGTGTTGACAAACTTAAGTTCAAATTCTCCACTGGGCAAGTAAGTCACCTAACGCTCCTCAGTTGCTTCCTTTGTTGAACGAAACTACAAATCCCTCACTATTACAAAGACTAAATGAGTCATTGATAGGAGTGCCTAGAACACAGGTGGCAACCACAAGGCCTGCGGCCCTCCACCGTGTTTTATCCGGCCAGCACCTTGTTTCTACCCAGTGGCAGTGCTGAGCACTCACTTAACTGTTAAGGAGTAGTTACATTTATACAATCCTAACATTACATTCGGCCCTGTGAAGACAACCTTGAGGCTGATGTGACCTCCAGTGAAAATGAATTTGACACCCCTGGCTTAGAACAATCTGGGCACTTAGAGTTCACTATAGTTTTAAGTTTTCTTCTTTCCTATAGATTATATTCATTTCATGTGTAAGGAAACTGAGGTCCAAAAAGGTTGGGTAATTAATTCATGATCACGTATTTTCCGTGGTTCAGAAACTGTCTTGTTTCCCAGGCGAGGTTGCTATGTCATGCACCAAGCAGATTGAGACACCTTTCTTATTTCCTTTCAAGGAAGGGTCCCTCATACTTCTGTTTGGAAACTTAGCTTGCTGCTGGGAACAGGACTCACCAGAACTAGCTGTCACCCTGGGCTAAGCCTCCACCTCCAGGATTTCCCCTCAAAACTTCCATTCACTGCTTTGTGCCCAAGGGCGGGTCTACCCTCAGAAGGAATGTGAGGACAGGTGTGACTGACCAGCAGGTTACAGCTTGTCTCTTGAGCTCCCAGGCTCAACAGATTTCCTTGTTTTGGTCACTGGGGTTTTATCCACTCTGGTTATTTTTTTAATTGGGATAAGTTAGAAATCGTACCATTTCTTTTCACCTACATACTTATTATGGTTTCACTACTTTCCAAATAGAATCCCAGAATGTCAGAATTGGAAAGGGAATCATTTTAATCCTTGGCTCCACCCTATAGATGAAGAAACTGCGGCACAGAGAGGAGAATGGATTTACCCAAGTCAGGCAGACAGGAGCAGAGCTGCCCTACAGCTCCGGCTGCTGACTCCTGTCATGTCCCTTGTCTGTTACACTTGTCTCTCTGGTTGCTCTCCTGTTTAGTTTTTTTTTCCTTGATCATTTCTGTTCTTAAATTGTGGTATTCTTTAGCTTTTTACTGTCACTTAAATGGGAGATATACTTTGGTTAAATGTAAGTGTGTGGGCTTTGAAGGTACCTGGCTTTTTAGACTCCTGTTTTCTTATTTGTAAACTAGGTAGACACTTAGCTAATGTGCTTGATTTGTAGGATTAGATATAAGATATGAAAAGATCGAGTATACAGTCCTTCCTTATGTCCTCCAGTCCTGAAACACTTTATTGACATACAAAATCTCCCCCTGTGTGTGAACCATGGGAGGATGGTGGATGGGTGCTTGCAAGGCGGTGTGAAAAGGCAGAGGCCCTGCCCAGGGACACTGTGAGGCTGTGGCTGGCTATGTCCAGGGTGGCAGAGGGAGATAAATAACACTGGGGAGGCATGGGGCAGCAGGAGAGGGCATGTGGGTGGCCACCTCAGCGAGGGATCCAGAGAGGGACCCAGACAGAGCCAGGAGACACACAGACATGGAGACACATGGGGACAGGGAGGCACAAGGACACAAAAGGAGGCAACACGGTGCTGGGACACAAAGGAAGGCACAGCTAGAGAAACTGGGATGGGCCGGTCTCTTCTGAAGATGGCCCCTGTGGCTTGTCCCTCCCCCAACAGGCAGGTCCCAGACTCCCGGGCAGGATGTGTGGAGGCTAGGCGGCACCGGGCAGCTGGTCACTTTTCCCACAGAGCCCGGCAGTGGGCCCTGCGGCAGTGGCCTTGGGCTGAACTTTGCCCTTGGGCCCCTGTCATAGATGTAGCTGCCCACAGCTCCAGTATTCACTCCCTTGGGTCCACAGCAGGGCCTGCAGCAGTAAGGCTGGCCCTCATGCTCCGCATGCCCACCCGGAGTCAGCATCTTCCACAGCATTCACAGCGCAGGCATGGCCGGGGCCAGCCCGTGCCCAGAGACGTCACCTTCTCGGCAAAGTAGACCCTCTCGCGGCAACAAGGGCACATGCTGGGTTCCCTGGTGAACGTGGTGATACTTGTGGCTTTGCTGGACCCCTCTGGGCAGGCCACTTGCCTTCTGATCCTCAGCTTGTGCCACAGGGACCCCAATAGGGCCAGTGACCTGCAGCCCCTTTGAGGGGCAGCTTCTTGTAGATGTTGAAGCTGGCACCTCCAATGTTCATACCTTCGTGTCCGAACACTGTGGTTGGTGTAGCAGGGCTTGTGGCAAAATAGTTTCCCATCATGCTCGGCGTGGCCCCCAGACATCAACGTCCCGCTGCAGTGCTCACACTTGAGACAGAACTTGTACCAGGCCTTGCCCACGGAGCTCACCTTCTCAGCAAAGTACACGGTCTTATTGCACTTGGGACACTTGGAGGCCATGGTTGTCGGTGCTCCTGGTTGCTCGTGTCCTCCGCCCACACCTGTCTTGGCGTTGCAGCCTTGAATATACATTTCTTAAATGATCACTCATGTCAGCATGACAGGAAGGCCCCCAGAAACCTGGGGGGCGGAAATAACTACTAATGGCTGAATTCTTCAGAGCAATGTGAATAGTGCCTTCCATTTATTCCACTCTCTTAAGGAGACACCTCCTTCCCTAGACTTCTGTTAGGGGAACTAGAACAACCCTGGAAGCCACAATTTACAAAGGCGGAGCCGCCGCCCAGCTTGCCAATGCCAAGGGGGACACTCATCTTTAACTGCGAAGGAAGAAGGAAGTGTCTTTGTTTTTAAATTACATTACTATTGCATCTCTGTAATAGTCTTTTATTTTAGTATAATCTTTCACCCTAACTAGCATGAGTGGGTAGGTATATCAGCATTTCTGTGACAGATAACAAAAATTAAGACACTGAAAGTTAAATTACTTGCCTATGGTCACACATCTAATAGGTAACACACTTGGGATTAGAACCCAAGCAAACTGATCCCCAAATCCATGTTCTTAACCATTGTGCTTACTGCCTCTTATAATTTATAAATTTGCAAGCCAGAGTATACTGATTTTTACTGATTTATTATAGCAATGCATATTTATTATCTTTCTGTTCAGGTCAGAATTCCCCCACAAGTCGCACTGGGCTAAAATCAAGATGTCCTCAGGGCTCCATTCCTTTCTGGGAGTGCTGGGAGAAATTTTATTTCCTGCTCATTCAGGTTGTTGGCAGAATTCAGTTCTTTTTTAGTTGTGGGTCCAAGATCTTCACTTTCCTGCCGGCCATAACCCAGGACGTTCCCCAGTTGGCAGAGGTGCCCTCATTTCTCAGTGCATAGCTCCTTTCTCTGACCTTGGAAGCCAGCCATGCAAGTTGAGTCCTCCTGTTGTAGCTCTGACTGTTCTTCCATTGTCTTCTCTCTTTCTGG